TATTTAATGCATTCCCAGTAAAAACTTGCAAGTACTACAACAATTCGTAACATTTTTTTGATACTGAATGGACCTATTGCTATGCTCCTTCTTAGCAGAACGTAATTTAGCATTTTCGACAACCGAGCCCCTAACCAAATGTCTACAAGAAAAAAAAAATATTATTAAAAATCAACGCGATTATTGAGCCCCTTTAAACTTGCACATTATTGCCCTGAAATTTAATGGGCTATCAAACTGCATAATCAAAAAAAAAAATTCTAAAAACTCTGAATAAAAAGTTGGAAATCTAGCAGAAAATTTGCAGATTGTTTAAAATTTTTGCACAATTTTTGTGGATTTATATTTTGTTTGTTAATGAGCTTCGCTTTTATGGAAAAATAATAAACATTAAATAAACGAAAGAGAAACACCGATCAAAATATTGATGACTTAATCAGCTGATCACAAGTGTATGTATAAAATGATTTTTATATTAACGACCAGTTTACAATGAATTTTAAATGTGCTCTGTCGAAATGGCATTTTAATATATGTACACTACGTACATATCGAGCCCTAATCGCCAAAATAACGTAAGCGACAAAAAATTTTTTTGATGCAGAAATGCATCTAAATGCTCTAGGAATATTTCCGCATCAAAACGAAAATTTTGAAAAAATGTCGCTTACGTTATTTTGGCGGTTAGGGTTAGGGTATCTACCTTTGTATACAATAAAAGTTTAATAAGAACAATTTTTTGTACATCCATTTGAAAAAGACGTTTTTGGGTAGGAAATGACGTTCTTTCAGACCAAGAGGGACGTTTTCTCATGCCGAAGACCTGGCAACACTGCTTCTGAGCTTACGTTGCTCATTATCCTTAAGAAAATTTAGTGCTAAAGCACTCGTTGCGTTCTACAAATTTCTGAACTATCTCTGAACTGCTGCAAATCGGCTGCAGAGAGGGACAATTGAACCTTGCGGTGTGCTAGTTGCGTTGTCCTCAAAGTTGCTCACATTTAGCATGTGAAAGCTGAGAATCAATTGCATAAATTCTCACTTCTCGTACAATACGAAAATAGCTCCGCGGGAAGACCTCCGACTCGAACATCGTTGGTCGTGATTTCAAATCGTGTGGAGGCAGTCGTGATTTTCAAATCTTATAAATTTAAATTGTTGAGTTCCGCTGAAAATTTTAAGAGAAATAGATCAAACTTAATGTAAGTAAAATTAAAAAAATAAACAAATATTATATAAAATGCAATCTTTAGAAGAAAGAAAAAAACGCAAAAATATCAAAAAATCGATATTCACGGTTTTTTTCCTCATAAAAACTTATTGTCCCAGACCTGTCCAAAAGTGAACCAGTGCAGAACGAGTTCAAAAGTTCTGCACAGTGGGCAGTTGCCACTTCGTAGGACATCGCGATGTTAAAAAAGGCAAGACAGAAAGCATTGATTTGGGATATATGAAGGACCATTACCGTCCTTTTTCAAGTTAGTTCGGCGCTAGTTGCAGCATTCTTACTACTTAATTGTGCGTTTGGTGGCGTGTTCGTTTGGGCGTGTTTGTTTGGGCTTAAAATCATCCCCATATACCCATATACGAGTACATATGTCTGTACGTCTGAATGAATGCCTGCTTTGCCGTCTAGGTTGTCTTTTCTTCTCATCCTCCCCACGTGGATGTTTGCAATTTCTATACGTTCGCGCTTAATTCCACCAATTAATTTTCATGATGATCCGAGAAATTAAAATCACTCAAATTGCGTGGCCTGGAATATAACTAAATATATAGACATATGTATATTCACATATAGAGATATTTATGTATATATGTATGTATTCAACGGCAACCACAAACGATGGCGATGAGTGTTGCAGATGACGGCTGCTGTAACCACAACGCCACCATCCTCATCCTCATCCTCATCCTCATCCTCATCACAATTACCATTACCACCTCTACTCATTCTGTTGCTCAATGCACTCAGCGTTGATGTCAGTTAGCAACCAGCAGCGTAACACCCTCAGCTATGCATGAAAATCGCATCAAGTAAATCCCTTTGAATATGCCGCTGCGTCCAAAGTAGGTCGTAGGCATCCTTTTATCAGCGCCAATGTGCCACTTAGTGATTTATGTCAAATATGTACGTACATACGTGTCGAAAGTGCGCGCCATTTTCTGCTTTTAGCGCACTTTTATTCCTTTCGAGCCCTCCATGTAGGTACTTTGTGTTTTAGCTTTGCCTAGCTCCCCAGGCAACCAACCACTCTTTCGCTAGCTGTGCTGATGCGCCAATAATTTTTACTCCAACAATGACTGCAAGTGAAATTTGGAGTAGGGAAAACCATACATACCTACATACATATATACACATTGAACTGTTGACAATGGCCTTCTATGTGTAAATTTCAAGTAATTAAAAGGATTGCTAAGGATTTCACTTTTTCAGTTAATCTTTGCAATTAGAGTTTGTGATTTAAGCTTATTTTTTTTGTTTTTGATGACGCAAGACTTCTAAACATTTGCATAGTTCATCGTAAATTATCAAAAAAAATTTAAAAATTAAATAAAATATATTTTTAGCAGGGACCCAGGGAGACAACCTCCCAGGACCAGGGAGATACACTCAGCAGTCCTGCACACAAGCCTTTAGCGAGACTCTAGCAAAAGGTCAATAGGCGAGCTTTATTCCTCACCGAAAACCATATATTTTCTCTGACGCACTAGAGTAAGTTAGGTCAAAATTTCTTGAGAGAGTGACTCCCCTACACTTAGGTCAAAGTCAAGCCCATTTTTACGCAATCTTTGTACCCCTAAGATGCTGTGGCGCTCACTGGGGATAGAACCATTTCGTTGACGCAGTGAACTTTGAAAATTTCTATTCTCAAGTTACATACCTGATGACAGTACGAATGGAAATTGTGATAGCGAGGTTTTAGTTTTTTAAACTATAATTTTATTATCATAAGAAAGCCACATAAGCCCAGCACTTTCACAGAAGGATAAGTTCGTTTGCTGCTTATATGCGGCTGTAGTTTAGAAGTGGCCATTGGTATACCTACCATGTCCTTCCCCGGAAGGATAGGGGCAGTCATACCGTGTTCCTCGCCAATTCGTCAGCTCTGCAGTTGACCTCAATACAATGCTAGGCCATCTCGTTTAGAGATCTGCGCCATTCAGTAAGAGACTTTGTATTGTCTACACATAAGTCTAGAGGTTCCAGGGTTGCTTTACTGCCACATCATATAAGGACCTATCTTTTCTCTTTGGTGCCGAGTGACCACCTGCATGGCCAGCACCGCTGCCTGGGGTACATTGCAGTGGTCAGGAAGCCCTACTCCTTGACTTTTCCGTTGGTCTTGAGTTATCAGTATACATGTTTGCAGCGCTGCGTATGTCGTGAGGTCTGGTGTTCCATCGCCATTGAACCTAGGATTTTTGAGTGATCGAATATACCATGAGTCCAGGAATACACCGATCACATCTTTATATGGGAAAAGTGCTGTGGTGGCTACTTTGATGCATTTCATTGTGTTGTCAATCCAGAGTAACTGTCGAGAATTACTTCGAGATACTTTACTGTACGTCTAAACACTGTGTAGCTAAATAATCGAGTTAGGGAGTGTAAGAACCAGTACTTTGAACCATCTGCGAAAAGAAGTAGTGCAGTTTTAGCTGGCTTGACCTCAAGACGGCAGTTTTTGGTCCACGTAACTAGTGAAATAAGAGCGGCTGACATGAGATCGCACAAAGTTTAAAGAAATTTTTTCTGTATGATAACCGCAACATCATCGGCATATGCCACAGCTTCAGTTGGTTCACCGTCAATACCCATAGGAGTGGAGAGAGAACGCCCGCCTTGAAAGTGTCCCTGCTGAGAGACCTGTGAGTTGTTTACTCCCCAGTTCCGAGCTTACCCCTGGCATTACTTAAATGTCGTAATTTATATTGAGGCCAACCCGTTCTATTGTTGTGATGGGCCAAGTATTGATTCGACGCAAGGAAGAGAAAGACGTATCAGCGCTATTATTCGTTAATGTCACTGGGGCAGGAAGCGCTAGTCATTCCACATCTCCGTTCACTTATGTCGAATAAAAGGTTGAAATATTTATTTTTACTATATTGGATATTTCCGGAAGGAGCTGCGCCCGGTTTTTAATATTTCCAAGCTTCCATAATTCAATTAACGCTAAATTTTTCCAGTGTCATGCAATATAAGAGTTTTAGATCATATTGGAGCTCCCAGCCCCTTTTGCATTAACTAAAAAATTTGTTCACAAGAAAATTCTATTTGTGTGGCAGAGACCACAGAACATTTCACAATATATCGTCGCTTAAAGTACAAAACCGCGTATCAACAAAATGCAAAACCGCGTATGTAAGGTTGCATAAACTATTTTCTAGAGAGTAACAACACTCATTTTTCAAAATGGTTCTCTCTTTTATAAAGCAATCGCCCTTCTGGCTAGTATATTTCACGAGAAATGGATAAGGATTGAGCCAAGAGCTTGTGTGAGCAAATCCAATTTTTGGCAGCAAATTTCAGTTACGCGGTTTTGCAGAATGACGATACGTGGTTTCGTACTTTAAACGACGATACGCATTATGAAAGTATCAGTAGATAAGCAGTCGGGGGACTTATACATTTTCAATGCCATCTACATATGTAAAATTTTCACAAAAACTACTTTCCTATATGAGAACTCATCTAGGACTAACATCACTGATATGAACTCTAACTTTGCAATCCAATAGTAACTTCTACTCACAAATTATTTAAAAGTTTAACATTAAAATCGCCGATGACACCTTAGCCTTAGCTGAATTTTTATATCAGAAGCTCATTTTTGTGAGCTGTTTTATATCAGAAGCTCATTTTTGTGAAGATTTTAAATAGAGGTTATTGAATATAAGTCCGCGTTATGCAAATTCAACACCAAATAAAAACTATGTTTATAAACAGAAAAAGGGTAAAATACTAATTACTTATGTTCTTCCTTCTTCTTTTTCAGCGCTGACGGCAATTACGAAGTGACAATAATGACAAAAGCAATTTTACATCACACCGGCAAAGTGGTGTGGAAACCGCCCGCCATTTATAAATCATTTTGTGAAATCGACGTCGAGTATTTTCCATTCGATGAGCAAACGTGTTTCATGAAATTCGGCTCATGGACATATGATGGTTATATGGTGAGTAAAACCCGAAGAATCAAGTGAAATACGAGGGTGATTTGACTATTCAGTACCTTTTCGAATTTTTCTCATAGTATTTAACATAAAATCATACTCGAGCAAAATATTTCCCACGGGAAATGCTTCCTTAAGCTTTTAAAATATTTCATATGAACGTGTACATAAATAGCAACTAGTCGTCGCTGTAAAAACATCTATCGAAAACTTGAAAAAATTTTCTGCTGCGGTATTTGTCTTCGTACAAAAACATCGATAGTATCGATGTTTTAATTTTTTATTAACATTGGTATTTTTTTAGAATATTTATTCGTTGCTGATTTGGGGTTAGCAAGAAATATAGAAATATAAAAATCAAAGCGTAATAAACTCATAGGCCCGTAGTTATAGTCAAAATAAAATCAACTCTAAAGTTAAAATCAGCCTTTTTGACATAACTTTCAATAGGATATCTGTCAAAAATACCTGCTTTTAACTTTCAGAGTCGACTTTATTTTAACTATAACTACGGGCCATAATCTTTTACAGTTTTGCTCAATTTTAACGTAAAAGTGTACGAATAAGTGTTTACTTATAAAAAGGGATTTTGTAAGTGCCATTCGATCTCTTATAGGGAAAATTGACACTAAAAAACTGAAGTAGGTACCTTGCATTATAGCTTTAAAGAGCAAATGTTTAATTTATTTAATAAGACATTATTTATAACACAAATGAATTGTGTTGTTGCCTTATGTATATTTCTTATATTAATTTTAATTTTCCATTAATTAATAAATAACTTCCAATATTCAATGTGATCTTAAATTCAACTCAAATGAATTGTGTCATTGCCACATTTACACATTTTCATTTTAAATTAGCAGACCCGGCGAACTTCGTCCCGTCCTAAATTAATTTTTGTTTACGGAAATATTTTAATATTACGGTTTGGTGCTTGTCAGAACGCATATTTCCATTGCCGTCTTTAATAACCTAACGAAAGTGTATGTTCGTGAAGAAGTTCTTGAAATTCTCCAATGATCTGGCGTTTCACAGGCAACACCGGTTTTCAATTTTTTTTCTTTACAAACCTTCTACAGATAGAGAGAAACAAAATGAAATAAAAACAAAGCAAATCCGTTGAGCCATTCTTGAGTTATGCAATAACACAGTAACACAGCAATTCATGTTTATATGTAAAGATTATTTTGAGTGGTGGCAACCCTGTTCAATTTTTTTTATCAAATTTGTTTATACATTCTCAGTGAAGTACATTATTACGGCTTATCTAGATTTAATTTTTGTTTTTGATATTTGAAGTATATGACAACACCGGGTTCCCATTTTTTCTTTACATTCATTCTACAGACAGAAAGGCACAAAATGAAATAAAAGCGAAGCGAATCCCTTGAGCCGTTATTGAGTTATTTGATAACACATGAAACAAACCATAAAAACTTTCGAATAGCGGCAACCCTGCCAAATTTTTTTTCTGAATTAGTCGTTCTTTATACATTTATAATTAAATTTTTTTCTCATATCGCAGTTATCTGGCAACACCGTTTCTCCAATTTTCTCATTACAAACGCTCGAGAGACAGAAAGACACAAAATGAAATGAAAACGAAGCAAATCCTTTGAGCCGTTCTTGCGTGATGCGATAACACACGAACAGCAATTCATTTTTATATATAAAGATTAAGAGTAAAGATTAAGTAAAGATTAATTAATGGATAGCTTTTAAATAATTAATCTAACTTGTTAAAAAATTATACTGTTTTTTAATTGATTTGGAGTTCAACTTAAAAAAAAAGTCATATATTCCAAGAAAAGTCGATAGTATCGATACCATCGATGTTTTATTGGCAAAAGCATCGAAAAATCAGTAGCTTCAAGCATTGATGTTTAGCAGCACTACAACAAACATCTGTTAATACATTAAAAAAGACGTTCACTAAAAAAAGACATGAGCTTGCTTCACGTATTTCTCCTGGGCTAAGGCCAGCAGGTATTGAAAATGGTCACTTCCCATGTAACGGTAGTTTGCGTAATACAAAATCTGAGATATTTTAGCAACTATCTGCTGAAGCTAATTCACAAAAAATTTATATTTACAATAATCACCTAGCAAAAAACAATTTGAATATTCATTTAAACGCTTAAATGTCTCGTAACCGCGTAAACTTCTTAAATAAACAGGTTTTCCATACAAAATTTTGTAAGTTTACGAGGTTTACGTGGTTTTGAGGCATTTAGATGAATTGCCTCAATAGTATTATATTTTTTTTTTTTTTTAATATATATGTTAGCACGACATATGTTTACGTAGCATATTAAAATAATATTAGGATTACCGGACTGCCAATAGATCAAAATGCTGAAGTTGTGACGCGTGTAGAACAAACCGTGAGAACAACAAACGGACAAAATATGTCACGTTGAGGTAAACAACTTCACCTGTGGGAAGCGCATTGTCAGCAAATTCCATTCACGCTGCAGCAAGGCAAACGTAGGTCTAGCGGTAATAAAAATAAATACTTTGTAATTATCAGTTCGTATTTAGAATACAATAAAGGAGCGCGGCTCCCTAAAACATATATTTTTTTGACTTACTAAGCAAACTTTGTAGAGTTGTTCACTTTGGTTCAATAAAAAATGTCACATAACGGTAATTTGGAGAAATAAAAAAAACGGCAGGAAGTCAGTAACTTACGTAGGAATTTCTTTTAAAATTTAGACAAAATTTTATAATTATCTCTTAGCTATAGATTCGGGTTTATAAAATTTTAGAAAACGGGCACCGTCCACTTATGGCAACATAAGTTATTGTGTGTCCGTAACCGATTTATCAATTTCTACCAACCTTGGTACATTTATTACCCTTGGCACAACAGGCAATATGTCGATTTATTTTTAGAATCGGACGACAACTATGTTCACTTTACATATAACAGTAAACCGAGATAGAAAAACTTCACTATTTCAATAACTAAGGGCGCTAATTTACTCCAAGTTATTTATTGCGAAAATCTCTTGATAAAAAATTAGTTATTATAGATTTTTTGAGAACGGACACCACCCACTTATGACTACATAAAATGTAATACTATGTTTACATATAAGTAGATTAACTCCATTTTCGAGCTAAACTCCCTGTAATAAGAAAAAGAGATTCAAAACTCGTCCCTCGTTAATATGTAATTATAAAATAATAATAATAATAAATAAATAATAATAAAAGATTAAACCGAGCGCAACCTAGTTTAATAAAACATCAAATTAAAATATATGTAAATTGCTTGATATAGCAGAAAAAAGTGATCACGGTGGCATTGAGAAAAAACTTAACTTTTCCTTTGGTTTTAGCGTTTCAAAAAAACTGTTCGGTTTGAATTCCGGATCATTTTAAAAACAGGTTCTTTTACATATTGGTTTTTCTTTTGTTCAATACGTACTAATTTGGGGAAGAATATTTATTGCTTCCATTTTTTGGGGTATTGAAAAAAAGGAATTAAGGATCAATTGATGTAAAAATTCATTAAGACAAAATGACGTCATAACTCTAACGCCTAAATGTAGTAGATAACAGTAAAAAAAAAAATTTAAATAAATAAAAACGACTAAAAGATACTTCCGAATATGCCTTAAATATTTGATATCCCTTCCACGCTATGCTCGATATACAACATATGCCCCGAATTGATTTGAAAAAAAGCAAGTGCATAGAAGACACTGTTACTTGACACTGATTACATCATGCTACCTTAGAAGTTCTACTAACTTGTCACAGTTCACAGTTCTGTACTAACACTGATTCACACAGCCAATTCATGTTACCGGCAAACTGATTCGAAAGCTAGATGTCCACCTTGACAGTTGCCAACATAGTACTTACTATCATTAATATATCCGCAAGCGTGTGTTTCTACTTGCACATGCCAGACGCAGCTGCACTAAATGAACTACCACAATGACTTTTTGAAAAATATCAAGCTGCCAAAAAATGAACAACCATCACATTCCAATGAAATGGACCAAGCAAGCAAATAAAGTCAAGTTAATATAAAAAAAAGGACAAATGAATGGAAAGGTGTGAGGCACAAGTAAAAAATGAGCAAAAATGCAATAAGGCAATTGTCAATGGCGTCAGGCCAGCGAAATAGATACATACATATGTACACACATACGCAGTTTAAGAGGGAGACGAGATTGACAAAGCGATGTGAAAAGAGATGAAATGAAGTGAGAAAATTGTAGGCCATGTAAAAAATGTACTTAGCTGTAAGTGAAAAACAACAAAGGCGAAGTACATGAATGTAAAAAAAAATGTAGCTGGTATGACATATTTTTTTTTTCTTTTCTTTTTTTTGTTGTTGAAAATAATGAATCCAAAATGCGGTGGAAGAGGTTCCAGTCGCAACTGTTGCGTTTTTCAAAAATAAGCATTACAATAGGCAGTTTATAAAAATTGTTTGGCTGTACATATTTGAAGTAGAGAGCAACAAAAAGTAACTGTAACAAAATTATGGAGAAAAATGGGGAAAAAGAAATGCTGACAAAAATTATGCAACAGTACATATTTATGTGTGCAACATAAGGTAAGGTCGATGTATACTATATTATGCCGAAGGATTGTTAATAATCAACACTTATATAATAATTCATTTAAGCTCCTTTCTAAAAAAAATTTTGTTTGAGAAGTCCATTTTATACGAGTATTGCATACATTACACAGGGAGAAATGCCTCGGCATTGATTCTAAAAAAATTTCCAGAATTCTTTTGTCGACTTATAAATCCATTTAAAGGGGCTATCAGGATCTATGAACAAAATTAGTCACAAAATTGCTCACTTCTTCTCTGGTCGCCTCTGAATACCCAACTGGTTATACTGCTAAGTGAGTGGTCGGGATCAAATTTGAGCTTTCAAATGGGCCCACTGGGGCTAACAATGCCTCTCGGCTCACTGTATGCCGGGAGCAACTTCATCCTCACCTACTTAACCATAGGTAGGATAGGTGTA